ATTTATTCTTGGGTTGAGAATTGTATAGAGTTATCAGATTGGAAGACTTGTAATTATATGTGAATTGAATGTATTTGTGTTGTTGTAATTCTGAGAATCGAATTTTGTTGTAACATATTTAAACAGGTTTATGTGTATATTAAAATGTTTATGAACAAAGTCATGAGTTACAATGTATCCAAAGTTTTGAATTGTACATATAAGGGCAAAGTTTGAATTGTATATTTAAGGCCAAAGTTTGAATTTTATTTATAAGGCCAAAGTGTTGAAATAAAGGCCTGAATTATAAGCAGGTTGTTGGTAAAATATACAAAACAGGGTGAATATTTTTATAAAAAAAAATTTTAAAATCTGGGACATTAGACAGCGCTTTTACATAAAAGCGCTGCTAAAGGTCACAAATATTACGCTACAAAAGCGCTGCTATTGGTTTGGAAGGGGGGTCTAAGGCAGCGCTTGTACAAAGTGCTGCTAAAGGGTGGGCTATGGCAGCGCTTTGCAAAAGCGCTGCTAAAGGGGGAGTCTAAGACAGCGCTTTTTGAAAGCGCTGCTAAAGGGGGGGATGGTTGGGGGAATTATGCAGCGCTTACAAAAGCGCTGCTAAAGGGCTAAAAAAGCGCTGCTAAAGGTGCTGCTGAAGGGAGCTTTTAGCAGCGCTTTTTCATTGAAAAAAAGCGCTGCCTTTACCTTTAGCAGCGCCACTTTTGGCAGCGCTTTAAAGCGCTGCTAAAGGCCAAAAAAAGCGCTGCTAAAGGTCTTTTTTGGCATAGTGAATTGTTTCTACGAGCATAGTCTATCAACTTATTTATCAGAAGGACCCTGTCTAATATGTTATGACTAGGGATGAAGGCAGTTTGATTGTTATAGATGAGGCTTTTAATGACATTCTACAATCTCCTTACCAATAATTTGGACATAATACGATACACGCTTCCTACATGATCAATTGGTATGAAATCATTGATGTCCTGAGGATTAGGCTTCTTCAGAATTAGAGCGAGAAATGACACAATGATAGTCTTCGAAAGATAAAATAAATAAAAAAATTTGTTAACACAGTCAAATAATCTAGTGATTGAAATTTACTCTTTCAAATAGAGCGAGAAATTCACATATTATTAGATAACTAAAATAATTTTTTTTTTGAGTTCGTTGTTGTCTAATAGTCTAGTGATTGGAATTCACTCTTTCAAAGTGTACAAGTAGGATTTCGTAGGTTCAAACCTGCACCTCCGATTTGATTAAGGGTGTTTGCGGGTCATTTTGGTTCGATTTCTAGAGAACCTAATATCCAAACCGATAAAAAAAATATGGGTTACTTTGTATTGAATTTGCACAAATTTTCGATAAAACTCAAACTGAAGCTAATCGAAAAACAACGAGTTAGTTTGAGTTTGATAGATCGGATATATTATAAACAAATGTGCAAAAATATTTTTAAAAATATCTAATTTACATGCCTAATTTTGTATAATAATATAACATTCTTTACTTTTTTTTCTCTATATAGTTGTGAATGTTACAAATAACGGTTCACCTTTTCTCTTTTTGAAGTTGAATACTTATATTAATTTTTATAATAATGATGATATAAATTATGTAAATTAATATGGTTAGTTCGGATAGACGGATTCACAGGTAAAATTTTAAAAATTTGTTGTCTGAAACAATAACAATGAACTTTATTGATTTGATTCGGTTTTTGTTTGAATTAAAAAAATTTGACCCAAACACCAGAGTTTGCTTTGATTTAAATTTGATTCAAATTTGTTTGAACTAAAACACTCATAAATTTAATATACCTACATAAGTATCAATTAAGTTTACTTAATTGATACTTTTAGGTAAGCAACAAGTTAGAAATTATGATTTAAGCTTAAGGATTTTTTTTCTTTTTAGTTTCAAAATTTAAAAAGTTGTATTTATAATTTAAAAAGAACACTGGATAGTCCCAATTAACTAATAAAAATACTAAATAGAGGTCAAAGTTTATGATACAACAGGAGCATGCTAACTGATGCATTTTGTCAGCGGTTGAATAATAATTTAATAATTGATGAAGTCAAGTAGGCATTAATTACGTTTTGAAATATCGACCCATAACACATCAAACACAAATTTTTATTCAATTAACTAACTTTTTTAAATAAATATTCAAATTAATTCAATTTTTTACATATTTTTTAAACTAACTTACTTTCAAAAAAAAATCAACACAAAAAAATCGTCAATTCAATTAACGAAAATATACAAACATATAAAAAGAAAATCGTCAATTCAATTGACAACCGTGTTTAAACACAGAGATTCTTTCTTAGATGTTTATACACTATTGTCAATTAAATTGACGAAGTGTTTAAGCACGGAGATTTTCTTATGAATTTGTACACTGTCGTCAATTAAATTTACGACTCTTATGTTGAATTTTTTTAAGTGAGTTAATTTAAAAAATATGTTAAAAAGTGAATTAATTTAAATATTTATTTGAAAAAACTAGTTATTTGAATAAAAATTTATACATAACTCTATATGTAAAATCAATAAATATTAATATTAAAAAAACTTAATTATAATTTCAATCCTCTAAGTTTATCTATTTATAGAATTGATTCACTTATTTTAAAATTAATCACTTTTGATATTTTTCCTCAGATTTTTCTACTAAAAAATAATGATGTAATATGTTTTAAATAAAGTAACATATAATTAAATTATGCAGAATAATTTAGATGGATTATTTATTTATATACTATTATTAAATTGTAAAAATAAATAACTTTTAATGGGCGTTGTAAGAAATTTAAATTTTAGGATATTAGAATTTATTAGATATTTACGATGTTATCTACTATCATGTCATTGTGTTGATCCCACTTTTAGAAATTAAATTCTAAATGTAAGGGAAATGTTTTAATAATTACATATTAAATAAAATATATAAAAATGGATGTAGTTTTCACTTTACAATATGCTTTTATTTGGAGTTTTGTATATCAAACCAAATTCTAAAAAGTATAAAGTAATATATAAACAAATTTTTATAAGCAAGGAATTGTATTAATATTGAGTATTAGAATGTTCAACTCAAATACAATAAAAAAGAAATAAGACCAAAACAAACAATAAAAAAATTTAAGAAAAACAGAGAATGGGATCATAATGCCAATTTTCCAATTCAAAATCTATAGAATCCAAAAATTTAGCTAGCACAACAATATAAGATTCTCTATTATAGCCCCTTTTGAAAAGAGTATCATTTAGTCAACCAAATGAATCAAACAACAACAACCAAAGAAGGAGGCGCAATGTTTTCATGATCTTCCTTTTCAAGAGATCGTCAAAAATTATCAAATTACATATAGAATCCACTTGAAAAGGTAGTTAACTGATATCAATCCTTTCCAACATGATGAACCGCACACAAGAGGCAAGTGGTTAAATTACAAACAGATGATCAAGAGATTCCGTTTGACCAAGACAAAAAGGACAGGTGAAATAATGAGCACAATGCTTAAGCCCCAAACCCCCGCCAGCTTTAGATTTATGCACATGCGGCCAAGAAACTAGTTGACCCTTCTCTTGATTTCTTCTCTTTTCTAAAGAAAAGATCTTTGAATCTTAATTATTTCTTGAATCACAACCTTGGGTGCTTTATAAAAGGAGAAAATACATGGAGGAATGGAATTCATAACAACATTTAAGAGTACGACACGTCCTCAAAAGAAAATGAACTTACTTTTCCATCTTGAAGGACAACAACAAAGTTTGTCAAGAATCGAAAACTAATAATTGTGCCTTCTTGGAATGATGCCTATAGAAGTTCCTAGAAAGTTGAAAGGGAGATGAGCTATAGAACATGAAAGAAAATCCAATGTTGCCTTCAAGAAAGTCGGATCAATGTTGAAGCCCAAAATCCTGCTTTTATGAAAATTAGTTCTTAGCCCTGAAGCCATTTTGAAACCACGGAGAACTGCTTTTAAAGTTCAGATGTTTTCCCAACTTGATTGACTTAAGATGATAGTATCATCAATGAATTATTGAAGGTCGGGGTGGAGATAATCTGCAAAAGAAAAAGGGTTGATACGCCAATTAGGAAACATCATTTTTCATTAGACCCGCGAGGACTTCTGCAACAATGATGAAACAGAATAGGGGAAAAGGGTCCCCTTGGCGGAGGCCTTTCTTCGCTCCAAAATCCATAGTTGGGCTTCCGTTTACAAGGACAGAGAAGGAGTTAGAGAAAATGCAGGCTTGGATCCATTTGATCCATTTATTACCAAAATTCATTTGCTTGAGAACGAATAACAATCCTAAGACATGGAATCAAAAGCCTTCTCAAAGTCGACTTTGAAAAGGAATATTTGCTTCTTGTTTCTATGAGCATAGTCTATCAACTCATTTATCACAAGGACCTCGTCCAACATGTTGTGATTAGGGATGAAGGTGGTTTGATTGTTATAGATGATGCTTCTAATGACATTCTTTAATCTCCCTGCCAATAATTTGGACACAATAGGATACAAACTTCCTATAAGACAAATTGGTCTAAAATCATTGAGGTCCTGATAGTTAGGATTCTTCGAAATTAGAGCGAGAAATGACACAATGATAGCCTCCAGAAGATAACTTGAAAAAATATATTTTTTATCACAGTCAAATAAATCATTTTTAATGATGTCATAATAGGCTTTGTAGAACCCCATTGTGAATCCATTCGGTTTGAGGCTTTGTCCTTAGAGGAATTACAAATGGCTTCTTTAATTACAAAAGAGAAAAAAGAGCTACCAACAATGTTCTATCTTTCATGGATAATTTGTTGAAATATACTCCATCCATCACGGGCCTCCTATGATTGAAATCTTGGAATCTTCTTTTAAAATGATCAAACACACTAGCTTTGATGCCATTAACATCTTCAGTAAGAGTGTCTCCATGTCTCAAAACAGAAATGTTGTTGAACCTGTGTCTAGCCATCTTGGAAGAGTTGAAAACTTAAAGTTTCAGTCTTCTGCTTTAAGCCATTTACATCTTGATTTTTTCCTAAGCATTGATTTCCTACGATGCAGCTGCTCCCAAACAAGAGATTGAGTTAAAGATATCCACCTAAATAGAATAGAGGATAAAGGTTCTACGTAATTTCCCACTAAATCATCTAGAGATATTAAGTACAAAATAGCTTCCTCAAAACCCATTTCTTGTCTCCCCAAAACTTCCAAATTCCACGCCTTCAGGCTTGCCTTAAGCTGCTTAAGCTTATCTTTAAATATGAATAGATTCTTGCCCTAAATAATTGGAGAATTCCAGCTATCTTGCACCATAGGAATTAAGGACGGGTGATCAATCTAAAAAGAGAACAATTTAAAGGGCTTTAAGACCCAATTTAAGAGGTTGACCTTAAGCCAAATTGGAACATTGTCTGAAACTTCTTGATTTCCTATTGATTTCCCTTTCATCCTCCATAAATCAACGAGCCCTTCAGAAATGAGGAAATAATTAAATCTACTCATAGAAGAACCTGAGGTGTTATACTAGGTGAACTTATTCCTTGTTGCAAGCAAATCAACCAAATTTATAGTGTTGCGGTGAGAATCGGATATGAAGCTATTATATTAACTTGAATCACGAAATATTGAATGTTTACCACCAAACTTTAATTTATTCCAAGGAAAGGGAAAAGATCGAATAAACCCCTAATTGTGCAATAACAATGCAAAGAGATCTAAAGGTTCGGGGTTGGTTATACTAAGGGAAGGTGTTAGCACCCTAAGTATCTATAGTACTCTATAGGAACCTCTTGTTGTATTTGTGTTATGTTATTGTTTGTTTGCTAATGTTTGGATGGGGAAAGACCTAGAGTTTTACTAAGTATGCTCGCCAAAACATCGCGGTCTTATGCCTACGTATCCTAACAAGGATGAAATAAGAGCATTCGTAGTTCGCCTAAACAAGGTTGATTAACACTTGATGATGATCAAGGTTCTAAGAAGAAGGTAAGTGTTCATAACAATAACACTTACATAGAATTTACAAACTCTAACCTAAGTATAAGTTGAAAGGTTGGTGACTCTAACAAGGTCAAGAGAGAAATTGAGGTAAGGCTAGGCTACCTATGACATATAGTCAACAAAAAGACATTTCTTTTGGATTTGGTAACAAAAGAGGACAAAGAAGGATGAAGGCTAACAAGCTAACATCACTTGAGGATAACTTAACAAAATTAAATTAAGCATGAGCAAAATGAGTGAATATGGATGAGATGAACAAGAATGATATTCAAACATGATATCAATTATGAGGGGCAAAGGTAACATTCAAACATGATGTTAATCATACAAGACAAAGTTAAAATGAATATGGCAACCACCAAAGTGAACACATACAAGCAAGGATGTTACAACACCTAAGCATATATGAGACATAGTTCTAACAAGACTAAAGCATCATGGATGTAAGCAAGGATTTAATCATGGATATGACAATATCAACATGGTATCATGGATGACAAGTTCAAGTACACAACTAGAGCAAGCATGGATTATGGTTTACTAACACCACTTAATCATGAATACAAGACAAACATGGACAAGTTGTAACAACACTTAATCATGAATACAATTTAAAACATTCAAACATGTATAAGTCATAACAATACTTAAACATGGATACAATTGAAAAGTTAAAACAAACATGGATAAGCCATAACAATACTTAAACATGGATATAATTGAAAAGTTAAAACAAACATGGATAAGCCATAACAATACTTAAACATGGAAAAGACTCAAACAAGCATGGATAAGTCATAACAATACTTAAACATGGATACAATTTCAAAAGTTCAATAAAACATGTATAAGTTATAACAATACTTAAACATGGATACAATATCAAACCAATCATGAAAAACAAGTCATGCATCACTTTAATCATGTAAACTACTTTGGGTATAGTTCAAGACATAGGTAACAACCAAAGGTACTTATTAATGTTCATAATAATCACACTCAAAAGTTAAAACATCACAAAGGTTTGAACATGGTAAGCATACAAGTTAGGAGTCAAGTAATTGTATCTTATCAAAGTTTAAGGCATTTATGAACACATAAACAAATATGGACAAGCACAAGGAATTACATTCAACAAGGTATGAAAAGAGCAACAAGTATTATGGCCCACAAAACAAGTTTCAAAACCTAACATAGAAGAATAAGTCATTTATACATGGAAAATAATGCATTCAAGTACTATAAAATTAGACAAAACTCAAAGAAACATGTTATCAACATTGTACAAAGTTCATACATGGAATATGATATTCACAAGAGTCACGATGGTCAAGAAAAATCAAGGAACAAGTCAAAGAAGTCAACTAAAGACCAAAGTAAACCCTAAAAAGTCCCTAACTTTAACTATACAAAAATGTATTAAAAATAATTATTTTGTGAAATTTTAAAATACAATCATAAAATAGGCAGTGTCATGAGTAAATAGGAAAAAGAGTGTCCCCAAAAGACCTAGGGAGCAAAGAGTTATAATCATTTGAAAATGTGAAGAAAATACGAAAAACAAGTGGTAAAAAAGAATTGTTTTGCTTCAGCCAAGGTTTGAACCCATGCTACAAAGGTTCGAGACCCAAAATCTAGCCACTAAGCGACGCGCATGCCTTGGTCATATGGTAGCTTCAATCATATATATTTAAAACAATATTTATAAACATATCAAAAAATAAAACAAAAGGAACTGGGGCGACAAAGATTTGTCAAAACATCACTTAAGATGCTCGCTCATGCCACTGGGGTGGCTATTACATCCAGTCATAAAATGGAATCAAATAAATATATAATAAAGTCAAATAAGAAAATGAAATATTGTCACGTCAACTTACCTTCAACCCTTACTCTCTCTCTCTCTCTCTCTCTCTCTCTCTCTCTCTCTCTCTCTCTCTCTCTCTCTCTCTCTCTCTCTCTCTCTCTTTTTTCTTCTCCATTTTTCTCTTTTTTTTCTCAATCTTTCTTATACCACAACTCACTCAATTTTTAATGAAATTAAAAGATATAAAAAATTAAATTTCTTATAAAAATCCCAGGAATCCAATGGTATTATTCTCACAAGCTAAAACTCATTGTACAAGTCGCACCAAGTCAAAAACCAGTCCTAAAACTTAGGGTTTCTTTTTTTTCTTCTCAATTTTTTCCTATCATAACTCACTCAATTTTTAACGAAACTAAAAGATATAAAAAGTAAGTTGATTAGAAAAATCCCAGGAATTCAATAGTATTGTTTAGACTGACTCAATCCACTTCTGCTCCCATAACGACCCAATTGCCTAAGTCCAACCTCTTTGGTGGAAATTTTACCTTTTTGCCCCTCCAACAAGGGAGGCTGGCCTATTTACCCTTGATCACAACACTTCTCCCCGATAGTCTCTTTTTGTCACGCACGGTTCCACCATCCAAAAATAGCCAAGACGCTTGTTCTCGTAACTACGCCCTTCCTGCGCCAACGGCTAGTTATGGACAGGTTTGCCCATCCCAAAGGCTAGTTCTAGCAGTTACCTATTCTTCAGGAGACGGTTATCTCGCCCTGAAAATAGAGACCAATGGCCAAGCGTTGGGGGCATTATAAAAACCCTCTCATTTGAGAGGGTCAGGTATCGAATATTCACCCTGAAAGATACATGTTCTATACTTGCTCTCTCTCTCTTGCTCGTTTTCTTACTTTAGCGTCGAAGTGCCCTGCAAGTACACCCCCTCCTCCTCTTTCACAGTCAGCATCACAGACGCTTGTCTTTGGCCCATCTCAGGTTCTGATCAACCGGTAAGATTAGTGGCGCCATCTGTGGGAAATTTGTTATCCCTGTTTTTTCTCTCTTCGTAGAACACAAAACCAAAACAATTCTTCAAATTTATGATCATGGTTTCCCGTGACAAAAATCTTGATGCTTGTAACTCTGCTTTTCTCCCTGCCAGCAAGACTGATGCTGATGGAGCCACCACCTCTCATGGCGGCGACATCCTCCGACAAAGGGACATAGCCGCAACTTCTCCATCCCCTATTCGTACAGATCACGACAAAGCCCTACTTGTCCCGCAACACTTTCTAGTTTCGCTCAACGCCGACCTGACCATGGCGGCCCTCCTCAAGGTTCTCAATAAAACCAACCTTCTAATCCTCAACCAGAACGCAAAGATTGGAGCATTGGAAGAGTCTCGTCGTCTAAGATCTTTCTGCCGAGGAAAAAACATCAGCAACGACGGAGTCCCCTCCTCAGTGCGAGAGGAAACATAGACGCCTCTAGAGTCAAAGACCCTGACCATTTGCAAATGCGACCAGATTTCTCCCCGGAACTAGTATTCCTCACAACCTAAGAGGACCAGAAGAGGCCACCAGGCAGAATCCCAATGTTCATCTCCGCCCAGATCCAAGGGTCGAGCACAAACCCCATCTCTCCGACGAGACCTTTGTCCTACCTATAGACGTGACGCCTATTCCCCATCTTGGACCAACAGCAGCAGCGACGATGAGCCTTGCGGCTGTTGTCCCAGAACATCATGGTCATGCGCCTCCCAAAAGGACTAGAGAAATCTCTCTCTCTAGGCACATACGACGGAACAACTGACTCATACTAGCACATCGAAAACATCGATGCGCTGCTCAACTATCGCGGTGTTCGAGGCGCCATCAAGTGCAAGTTATTCCCGACCATTCTCAGGAAGGGGGCAATGGCCAGGTACAAAGGGCTTCCTGACGACTCCATCACCTCATGGAGGAAACTAAGGAGACTCTTCTCCAGACACTTCACGACCTCTCTCCGTCATCCAAAGACCGAAGCCTCCCTCGAGACCATCATTCAAGGGAGAAATGAACCCCTACAAGCCTACATTGAAAGATTTAACAAGGAGGTCGTCCAAGTCTCTACCAACGATGACATGAAAAAGTTTCTTCTCGAACACGGGCTCCGTCCCTGCACAGAATTTGCTAAAGTTGTTGGCATTTGGCCCCCGGTAACACTGGACACTTTCCACCTCAAGGCCCAAGCGTACATTCAGTACGAGGAAAAAGAGGCTGCCAGCTCTGCCTGTGATTCTAGACACAGGGAAAATACCCGTCCTTCCAGATCCGACGAGCCCCCGACATCCCGTCAAGGAGATAAAAAAATCAAAAGACCGTCCCCGCGAGCTCCGGGACAACAATGGACCCTCCGGTCGGTTCCACGAAGACAATCCCCTGACAGTTTCGAGAGAAAAGATCCTCACTGAGTGCGCCAACTCAGAAAAGATTTAGAAAAGGAATTTTCTTTAATTTCTATATATGTTGATGACATGAATATTATTTGAAATTCTGAAGAGCTTCCAAAATATATAAATTGTTTAAAGAAATAGTTTGAGATGAAAGACTTGCCAAATACAAAGTTCAGTATATAATTACTAGTTGCATTAAGACAATAAAATCATTCTACACCAAAAAGCGTGTATAGAGAAAGTGATACAATGTTTCTAATAGATAAATCTCATATGAAGTTTAACTTAATGATTGTTAGATCATTTCATGTGTAGAAGATCCTCTCAGACCTCGAGAAGAAGATGAAAAACTAATTGGTCCTGAAGTACCATATCTTAGTATGATTCGAGCACGGGTGTATCTTACTAATAAACACACCATGATATATTAACTTTTATCAATCTATTAGCAATATATAGTTCTTCACCTACATGAAGATATTAAAAGAGAGTCATACACATACTTCATTACCTTAGAGATGTAGGTTCTTTGTTAGATCCTCATAATGAAACATCACAAATATGTTACTTGTTTATTCATGGTGGTACAACCATTTCATAGAGTTCTATGAAACAACTCATAGCAGCAACTTCGTCAAATAATGCAGAACTTTTAGCACTACATGAGGTCACTCTTAAGTAAAACTTTTAACCAACTAGTACGAAATACTGATTTTCATCGTCGAAGAAATGACTGTTCAGCTGAGGGGAAGAAATAAGTTTATTCTAAAAGGATATTGTACTGTTTGTTATTTACTAGATTTTTTTCCACAGAGTTTTTCTAGTAATGTTTTAACGAGAGATATCCTCAAAGAACAATATCCAAGAAGAAATGTTATGAAGTAACGGATGTTCAATATTATTGTCCTTTTCTCCACCAATAATCTTCATCTAATATATATATATATATATATATATATATATATATATATATATATATATATATATATATATATATATATATATATATATATATATATATATATATATATATATATATATATATATATATATATTGATTTTATTGTTTACTATGTGCATCCTATAAATAGGACATATATATATATATATATATATATATATATATATATATATATATATATATATATATATATATATATATATATATATATATATATATATATATATATATATATATATATATATATATATATATATATATATATATATATATATATTGATTTTATTGTTTACTATGTGCATCCTATAAATAGGACATATATTACTATTTAAAATTACATTTGTGAATAATATAATACAAATTCTATTATTTGTTCTCTAAACTTTAATGCTTTTTTTCTTTATTTTAAAACAATTTTTTTTAATTGAAAAGAATTATAATAAATGATAAAATTCTTTTTTGAAAAATTTAACATTCAATTTCTACAATTGAGTTTAAATTTAAAATTAATAATTAAATTAAAAATCTATTATAATATATTAATTCTGAGTCATAAATTAATTTATTAACAATTCATCATCTTTCATACCACATCAATTAAAATCGCTATTTTGAACTTCTATATATAAACCTTCCATAATGTTCTTTTTTTTTTTTTAATATTATTATTATTATTATTTATATTTTACAAATTATTTCTCTATTTTCTTTTTCATATACTAATCATTTTTTTTACGTGTCTATCCATTTTTTTTTAATCTAAACTACAATATCTAATAATTTAATCCATAAAATACATTCTTTTTAAAATATAATTCAATTATAATTATAGGTACATATTAAAAAATTAAACTCCAAATGTAAAATCAAACTATTATTTTCCAGCTAATTTACATATAAATGTCCTACAATATATTAGTGAATAAAAAATAATTAATATGAAAAGAATAATTTATTTGAATTAAATCAATTATATATATTGAAAATTAATGGGATAATGAAATACAAACACAAAAATAATATTCTTAGATTTATTTTAATACATAATTCATCATCCAACTTATAAAAACTTATTCAACTATCTATTATTTATTATAATATATTAATTCTGAGACATAAATTAATTTTTTGATCAATTAAAATTATATGGTACTCTTATCTTTCATATTCAACCATCTATTATCTATCATGATAACTCATATCTTTCATTCCACATCAATTAAAATTTGATAGGATACTCTTGCAAACTTCTCTGTATAAACATTTTAATATTCATCTTAGCACAATGTGCAAAGTTCAATTCATAATTATTTTTTTAAAACACTTTTACTTTATTTTACAAATCAAATTCTCTATTTTCTTTTTCATATACTAATCATTATTTTTTATGTGTTTATCCACTTTTTTTTTAATCTAAACTACGATATCTAATTATTTGCTCCGTAAAATACTTTCTTTCTAAAATATAACTCAATTATAATTGTAATTACATAATAAAAAATTAAACAATTACTTTTTAGCAAATTTACATATAAATGTCCTACAATATATTAGTGAATAAAAAATAATCAATATGAAAAAAAAAAAACAATTTAATTAAATTAAATCAATAGTATACATTAAGAACTTATGGGATAATGAAAGATAAACGCAAAAAATAATATTCTAAATTTATTTTAATACCTAACTTATCATCCAACTCATTAAACACATTCCACCATTTATTATCTATTATTATTATTATTTATGAGCGATAAATTACTTTTTTTGACAACTCATTATCTTTCATGTCATATCATTTAAAATCTGATACGTCACTCTTTTAAACTTTTTTTTATATAAATCTTTTAGTATTTATCTTAGCATGATGTGTAACATTCAATTCATAATTATTTTTTAAAATAGTGTTATTATTTATATTTTACAAATCATTTCTCTATTTTCTTTTTTATATACTAATCATTATTTTTGTGTCCATTCAGTTTTTTCGAATCTAAAATACATTATCTAATGATTTATTTCATAATTTTTTTAGCCAATTTGCATATAAATGTTCTACAATATATTAGTAAAAATAATTAATATAAAAAAAACAATTTATTTAAATTAAATCAATTGTATACATTAAAAACTAATGAGATAATGAAAGACAAACGCACAAAAAATAATATTCTTAAATTCATTTTAATACCTAATTCATCATCAAACTCATAAAAATATATTCAACAATCTTTTATTATCTATTATTTATTATAATATATTAATTCTGAGACACAAATTAATTTATTAACAATATATCATCTTTCATGTCACATCAATTAAAATTTTATGGGGTATTCTTCCAAACTTCTCTCTATAAACATTTCAATTCATAATTATTCTTTTAAAACACTATTACTTAATTCATATTATTCTTTTAATACCTAATTCATCATCCAACTCATATTATTCTTTTAATACCTAATTCATTATCCAACTCATATAAACATATTTAACAATCATGTTCATTTCACTCTAAAGTTACAAAAAATTGCAAAATAGAGAGTTTCATAATGTTGATTATGATACATAAATTTTATACACTTATTTCACTTTTTCACTTTTTTTTTACATAAAATTGTATTTTTTTTAATACACTCTATCTTATTCTCTTAATTAAAAAATTCGGTATACCAGCCTAAATCTATTTAATATAATATTACTTAAATAATTCATCTTAATTCCACGCATCGTACAGACTTTAATGTAATATATATTATTGTCATTTCATCTGAATGTTTTTTCGAGCACACTTGTTTTATCCGCACTTTTTTATAGGGTATAATAATTTTTTTTGAACCACACCCTCTAATATGTTAGCTCCACTCCGCCCCATTTTTGAGGCATTTTGTGAGCGTAAACATTAACATAAATTTTGTAATTTTTAAACTTTAAAATTACAGTATCTACAGGCCGTCTTTTTACGCAACAAATCAAGGGTTTAGATTCACATTCTCAACAATAACTTCACAATCTCATCTCAATTTTTATAGACTTTTACAAAACCGAATAAAAGAACGAAAAGAGAGCATCCAGAAATCAACTATAAAAAGAGATGAATATGAAAGCAATTATATAAAAACCAATATTTCAAATTATTAAATATGAATAGGAAAGCAAGCAAATACTAAAATTGAGGAGGGAAAAGTATAATTTTTAAAACTATGCAACAAACAATAGTTTATTCAAATAGTGGTATGGAAAGAACACCGTTCCTTCCACCCTTTGACTAATTTTCAAACCATTCAAGCATAGACTTTGACTCACTACTTTTCCAACTTCTCTCTATATTTGGCTTCTTCCTCCTTCTCTACTTTTCTTCACCTTCTTTTTTATAACTTTCCATAATTTCCATACTAAATTAAGCCAACTCCTTCTAGTCCTCTCTCATTCTTTTAAATCCTAATATTGTTCACATATTCATATTTAGTGTTTGTCACTACTTTTCAATCTCCATCTTCACAGCAACAAAAGTCCTTTTTTCATGATCCATCAACTTCCTTCTTAAGGTGGGGCTATATACTCATATTTTTCTTCATAGTGGGATCACCCACTTCACTACTTTTCAAATTCTTTCCTTTCACACAAAAATATTACTCCTATCTTGAATTTTTCAATACCAAAATACTTATACTACTAACTACTTGTCTCTTAATCTTCTGCTTCTTCTTCTTTCATACATGTTTACTTTTGCTATAATATATGAACCCAAATCATTCCCTCTAATGCATCATTTCATAGCATATAGCAATCATTTAACTTCAAATGAAGTCATGAAATAATGCAATTATAGCATAAAGTTGCATACATGGAAGGTGTATTTTCCCTTCCTGTAGCCGTCAGAACTGAAGTTATCCATTCTCTCATGCAATCTCTTGGAGGATTCTCTTACATTTGTCTTTGGACATATGATACCATTTCACCAAAGTATATACATATAGTATATTTATAATTATATGTATACACCTACCTACATTATTATATAAGGTTGTTGATTCTACTTAAACAAAGGTTTGATTTTTATTATTATTTTTTATTTTTTTTGGATTAGTCGTTTGTCCTTCTTGGATGGTATCTACAATGTGATAAGCAGCCACCAACCAAGTTCTTCATTGGGAAGTCTCGCACAACAGCTTTTTGATCAGTACACGATTTTATCATTCGATATCAATGATGAGTAAGTTTTTTTTTCTCTTATGAAGTTCAATTGATATCCGTCTATGAATCTCACGCTTTTTTTTTCGGATTCGTTCAGCCGTATTCCTGGACTAGCTTTCAGGAACCAACGACGTTATCTAGAGCTGCAACAGGTGGAACTTCTGGCACTGTCTTCTACAGAAATACAGAAACAATTCTACAAGGTTAATATTGTTCAAATGAAAGAATTTGTATTAAATTATTGTTATATAGTAGTAGTTTTTAAAGGTTGTTATGTTGCTAATTAAGGTAACATGTTTTTGTTTTTACAGGAAGCAAGAATTAAGGTTTGTTTGTTTGCTGTCCAAGAAACTGAAAATTCTCTATATAATTTGATTTTCTGAGCTTTTAATAAACCAAAATCTTTATTATAGACTTCTGTTTTCATGGGATGCAACAAAGGAGAAATTGAGCTTGGTTTCTTAAATATGTCCCATGTAAGTAGCCCTAATAGTATATATTTCTTCAACACCGACACCTCTGAAAAATTACGTGTATGTCTATGTCCGAATTTGAATGTGTCAGTTTCAGTGTCCATGTTTCATAGGTATATACTATAGTACATCTATCTTGAAAACTTCGGTATCGAACTCGCCTGAACTTTTTTGTGTATGTGGTGCAGACTGATATTCAAACAGCACTTAGGAGTTTATTTCCTGAAGATTTTTCAAGACAAATTCAACAAATTGATCAGAATAATAACAATACTAATCCACCTTCATCATCTTCATCTTCAATGAGATCATTATCAACAGCAGGTAGTCCTGAATATTCATCTCTCATTTTCAACACAAATCCAGCCGGAACTTCTCCATCATCACATCACTTTCCTGATCATATCCTTGGAGGAGTAAATATTCCTCCAATGAGACCTGTTTCGAACACACTACCCTTTCATCTTCAACAACTACCTCAAATCACACCAACACAGTTATTCCCTATTGATCACAATGATGCTATAATGAGAGCAATCCAGAATGTTCTATCTACACCCCCTTCTCAGCAAAGTTACGCGGCGCATCCCGGAGCTAGTGCATTTGGAAGGTATAGAAACGATAAAAGTCCTATTATCGTAGGGTCGAATTTTAGACGACAGAGTTTGATGAAGAGATCGTTTGCATTCTTTAGAAGCTTGAATTTGATGAGACTGAGAGAACGAAATCAAGCCATGCGTCCTTCTAGTAACCAACTTCATCATATGATATCGGAGCGGCGAAGGCGCGAAAAGCTCAACGATAACTTCCAAGCACTTAGGGCATTACTTCCTCAAGGAACTAAGAAAGACAAAGCATCCATACTGATAACAGCAAAAGAGACCTTAAGATCATTGATGGAAGAAATAGAGAAACTAAGCAAAAGAAACCAAGAGTTGATGTCAGAAAAGTTGACTGCTTCGAATAAAGAAACCATGAAATTCTCATCAAATGAGAGAATTAACGTGCGAGTTTTGCATGTATCGGAATCAAGTTCATCGGACGATGAACCAATGGTAGTGGATTTACAAGTGAACGTGATCGGACAAGTTTCTCAAGTTGATATGTTGATTCGATTATTAGAATTCTTAAATCAAGTTCATCATGTCAATTTGATTTCAATGGATGCAACAAATTCAAATTCAAATATTCCACAACTTCATCAAATAACATTCAGGCTAAGGATTACTCAGGTACTAATAATATTATAAATATTTATTATTTTCACATTAATAGATTATATTATCAGAAACTTATATCGTATTATTAGGTTGGACGTTATTAGCAGAATACTCTAATATTCATAATTGTATATTTCTCTTAAAAAAAAGTGTGGCTGCTTGATAAGTCTATAGTTTGATATTTCACTAATTACTATGATAAGTAGGTTTAGACAATTGTTAGGTGGCTTGGTGTGCTTAATTTGTCACCTTCCAAAAGATTATACAAACCACAATTCAATTCAAAAAGTGAATTCTATTTTGGCAGCCACCCAAATTAGTCAGCATATATATAAATATATATGTTGATAATTTTTTTATTATATATAATCTTGTGGTAGAGACTCTTTGAGTTAATTTATAATATAGACAAAAGATTAACGTCACGTTAGATTACATAAATTTATTTGGTAATCATGAATGAATGTTTTTACTTTAGAAAACAAGAGTAGAAGAATATATGCCACAAAAAACATAAAGTGACATGTAAGAAAATGTTGGTTAGGTAAGAATAAAAAGTTTTGGTGGTTTTTGCAGGTGAGTGAATGGGACGAAGAGGCTTTCCAAGAAGCAGTGAGAAGAGTAGTTGCTGACTTGATACAGTACCAAGTGGACCAAAATCTATGACTCACTTGTTATTATCTTAAATTGATTATTCTGCGGCGGTATCAAATTGTTTTGATTATGTATAAGCCAATTAAATTAGCTTCACTTATTTTGTTTGTTTCATGATTAATTTGTTTAGTATAGGGGGTTTATATTATATGTTATCGGTGTACGTTTCAATTCTAATTTTAAATGATTTTTTGTCTCTTGTCTATTGGTCACGATTATCTTTTGTTAAATAAAATGTAATAAATTATAAACACTCTTGACATAATTGGTTGAAGGGGTTAAAATATATTAGATAAATATAATATTCATGGAGAAATTTGAGTGTGATTGAGTTTGTTTTTAAGACGATTTATTCAATTCAAGTTTCTGTTAAAGGGTTTTAAGAAAAAGATTTGCCTCTAAGTAACTTGTTAAGTAAGATGTTCAACATATGCGGTGTGACATTTAGGTGTAAGGATTGGATTCAGATTTTCTTCATTTTTGCTTTGGTGTTAATTTCTTCAAAAGATGCAGAAGTTTGTTTTTGAAAGGAATTTGTGTTGTAATCCAAATCAAGTTGAAAAAGATTTGGATTTGATTTTGTTAAAGAAGATTTGACTGGATTTGATTTGAAGGAATATGTGGTTGTGAATTATGTGAAGAGAGTTACTTTGAATGTTCTACTATAACATGTGAAATACAATGTTCCAAGATGTGTGCAGTGCAACATATACCCTTGACAACGTGACCAAGTTGTTGTTGGAACAAATTTTATGATTGGATTTCAATCAAATTTGTTACTTTATTTTAGCAATGTATTTATGTGGATTTTTTTGTTAAAGATTAGCTGAAATCAATTCAATTTAAATGGAAATTTAAATTTGAATTTAAATCAAAAATAAATCATATCTTTTGGAGGATTTTGTTGAACAAATTAAAACCAAATCCTCTATATTTCTGGACGTAATCTTATTCAAGGAGAAAATCTCAAAGTTTCTGTTATTTAAGGACACTCAAACCTAGAGTTTGAGGTGTTCACATTTTGAAGACATTTTATGTTAGCGTTTCAATTTTTTAGTCTTTGTTTAAGGTATTGTTGTGCACCACTCTAGCGCCTAAATTCGTATCTTAAGATCGGATTTTCTTTCTTTGCTGAGTTATAAAACTTTGTTCCAAGACATTAATTCCATAAGCTTGAGAAAAAGGTGTTTGTGTTAATTATACATAAAACTTTGTTCCAAGACATTAGGGCAAACAAAAGATCACACGTTCAACACGTACACACTTAACAATTAATGGCATTTAATGAAAAGAATAATAATCATTTCAAAACAATAAATGATTCTGACAATTGGGGAGAAATCAAGAATTTCAATTATTCAAACGTTACCTCAAATGTCTCTTCAGTATTGTGCACGCCACCTTTTCAGATTCTAGAGTGACATGTGTTTGCTTGCATGTGCTTCTGAAATCTCTTTGAAAAATGAAACGTTAGCCAACGTTCAGATCCTCTGAGACTTGTTAGTTCAGATACACACAGAAATAATAATTCAATACATTAAATGAATTGACATATGAAATACTTCAGAGTTTTAAACATTTCGCATCTGAGAAATTTGCTTCTGATCAATATTATTCTGGAAAAAAATCCATACCAATATTTTTCAGAATAAACTTAAACCTATCTTCAACAAGGGGTTTTGTGAAAATATCAGCCCACTGATGATCTTTATCAACAAAGGCTAAGTTTATAATACCCTTCTGAACATAGTCTCTAAAGAAGTGATGTTTAATTTCTATATGCTTAGCTTTAGAGTGTAAATAGGATTTTTAGATAAGCATATAGCAGAAGTATTATCACAGAATATAGAAATATTATTCTCAAAGATCTGATAGTCTTCTAGCTGACTTTTCATCTAGAGCATCTGCGTGCTACATCCAGCAGCAGCAATATATTCTGCTTCTGTAGTTGATAGAGCAATTATAGGTTATTTCTTGTTGTACCAGGAGATTAAATTTCTTCCCAGAAATTGACAACTTCCAGAAGTACTCTTTCTTTCAACTCTGTCTCCAGCGTAATCAGCATCACAGAATCCAACTAATTTAAATTCATCAGATTTTCTGTAACACAAACCCACATTAGAAGTACCTTTCAGATACCTTAGAATCCTCTTAACAGCTATTGAGTGTGATTCTCTAGGATCGTATTGGAATCTTGCACACAAGCACACACTGAATAAAATGTTAGGTCTAGAAGCAGTTAAGTAGAGAAGAGATTCAATCATACCTCTGTAGAGTTTCTGATCTACTTTCTTACTTGTCTCTTCCTTACCAAGAGTATTTGTTGGATGCATAGGAGTCTTTGCCATCTTACTATCAGTCATGTTGAACTTCTTCATAAGCTCTTTTACATATTTGGTCTGATGAATGTAAGTGCAATCTGGAGTCTGGTTGACTTGAATTCCCAGAAAGAGTCTCAATTCTCCCATCATGCTCATCTCAAATTCAGCCTGCATACATTGAGCAAACTCCTTTCCCAACATAACATTGGTAGATCCAAATATAATATCATCCACATATATTTGACAAATTAACAGATCTTTCTTAAATATTTTACAGAAGAGAGTTGTGTCCACTTTGCCTCTGATAAAAATTTTCTCCAGAAGAAAATTACTTAATCTCTCATACCAAGCTCTGGGAGCTTGTTTTAAAGCATAAAGAGATTTCTTGAGTTTAAAAACATGTTCTGGAAATTTTTCACTTTCAAAACCAGGAGGTTGGTGAACATAAACTTCCTCTTCTATTATCCCATTTAAGAAGGCACTCTTAACATCCATCTGATATAGAGTGATGTTATTTTGTGCAGCAAAGAAAATGAGTAAACGAATAGACTCTAACCTGGCTACAGGAGCATAAGTATATGTATAATCAATTCCTTCTTGCTGGCTATAACCTTGAGCAACAAGCCTTGCTTTGTTTCTTTCAACTTCTCCTTTTTCATTCAACTTGTTTCTGAAGACCCATTTAGTTCCAATTATGTTGAATCCTTTTGGTCTTGGAACCAAATCCCAAACGTCATTTCTCGTGAACTGATTGAGCTCTTCTTGCATGGCAATTATCCAGTTATTGTCTTGCAGAGCTTCATCCACAGAAGTTGGCTCAATAACTGACACCAAACCAAATAATGACGCTTCAGGTGATCTGAGGTAGGATCTTGTTCTTATGGGGTCATCCTTCTTTCCAATGATCACATTCTCTGGGTGAGAGACCTTGATTCTGGAAGATGATCCTCTAACATTTGATTCTTTATAAATATTCAAGTTGTTCATTTGAGAAGCTAAAGGAGTTGCATCTGGCGTTGCTTCTGGCTCTTTCACTTGAACCTTTTCTGCATCTGAGCCTTCAGAGTCTGTGAGAATTACTTTTCTATCTGCAAAACTTTCAAACTGCTTTGGCTTTTGAATGCCAAGCTTATCATCAAATCTAACATGTATAGATTCTTCCACAATCTGTGTTTCAGTATTTTATACTCTGTAGCCTTTAGAGCGTTCAGAATAGCCAAGCATGAAACACTTATGTGCTTTAGAATCAAGCTTGTTTAGATTCTCTTTAGTGTTCAGCATATAACATATACATCCAAAAGGATGAAAATAAGAAATGTTGGGTTTCCTGTTCCTCCATAGTTCATAGGGAGTCTTTTCCAGAAGAGGTCTAATTAACACTTTGTTCTGAATATAACAAGTTGTGTTTATTGCTTCTGCCCAAAAATGCTTTGCCAGATTAGTCTCGTTGATCATGGTTCTGGCCATTTCTTGCAGAGTTCTATTTTTCCTCTCTACAACGTCATTCTATTGTGGAGTTATAGGGCAGGAGAAATCATGAGCAATGCCATTTTCATTAAAATATTTTTCAAAATATTTGTTTTCAAATTCGCCACCATGATCACTTCTGACTTTAATAATTTTAAACTCTTTTTCATTCTGGACTTGTTTGCAGAATTCAAAGAACACAGAATGTGACTCATCCTTGTGTTTTAGGAATTTCACCCATGTCCATCTGCTATAGTCATCAATAATGACTAATCCATACTTCTTGCCTCTGATGGATGCAGTTTTCACTGGTCCAAAGAGATCAATGTGAAGTAACTCTAATGGTCTTGAAGTTGAAACAACATTCTTAGTTTTAAAAGAAGATTTTGAAAATTTTCCTTTTTGACATGCTTCACAAAGAGCATCTGAGTTGAACTTCAACTTAGGAAGTCCTCTGACCAGATTGAGTTTATTAATCTGAGATATACGTCTCATATTAATATGCCCCCAATCTTCTGTGCCAGACCCATTGCTCATCATTAACAGACATAAGGCATTTTACATTTTGAACCTTAAGTTCTGAAAGATTTATTTTGTAAATGTTGTTCTTCCTCTTTCCATTAAATAGGATTGAGCCATCCTTCTGACTAACAGCCTTGCAACATTTTTATTAAAGATTATGTCATAACCATTGTCACTTAATTGACTTATGGACAATAGATTATGCTTTAATCCTTCTACAAGTAAAACATTAGATATAGAGGGAAGGTTACCATTTCCAATAGTATCAGAGCCAATAATCTTGCCCTTCTGATTCCCTCCAAACTTGACGTCTCCTCCAGATTTAAGCTCCAGGCTTTGGAACATAAACCTTTCTCCCGTCATGTGACGTGAGCAGCCAAAGTCCAGGTACCATGACTGGCGTCTTGACTTTGCTGCTAAATACATCTGCAACAGTGATTATCTTATCCTCAGGTACCAGATCTTTTTGGGTCCTTTTAGGTTAGTTGCCTTAAAAGTTTGTCTGAACTTCTGTCTTTTTATAACAGTTTTGTTCTGACTAACTTTTGATTTAAACATAGGAACGTTCTGATCAGAACGTGTATGTTTAATATCATTCAGATGACCAAACTTAAAATTAGAATATAAGGGAGTCTTCTTAATGATAAGTTTATCAACAGGCATTGGATTTAAATCCTTTCCAGGGGAAGATTCATATCCAAT